TAGAGAGAGAGATGGGACAGGAAGGGGAAATCCCTCCTGTTGGGCTCCCCTGGGGAATCCCCACCCGCCCCAGGTCCTCCTCTCTCAGTTTCATCAGCTCCTTGCTTCGCACGTGCCATGTCCCCGCAGCATTGGGATGGGGTTTCCCCGCCGGCCCTTTCTTTGGGACTGGACCCGGCAGTGGGGCCCCAGGGGAGCATTCGGGTCCTTCCCCTGTCTCTGCACTGGCCACGGAGCAGACTTCCCAGAAACCCCCCCCACCCCGCTCAGTCCGACTGGAGCCGCATTTACTGCCGGACTCTGACCCTTCAGCTTTTCCTCTGCCTGAACTTCTGCTACGGCCGTGGCTGCGTCTCCAGCAGCGCCCCCAGCTGTCAGGGACCAACACTACAGCACTCTCCCTTGCCTCCCCCCAGGCAGCCTAGGCTGGCCCAGGGCTTCCCTCCATGCCCAAGCGGAGAGAAAGACAGGCCAGTATTCCCCAAGGGGATGAGTGATACTGGGAGGGAGGGAGTGGCACAGTAAGTCACCGTAAAGGAGGCTGCTTTTCAGAAAGTTCTGAGCACCCGCTCCTCTGACAGGCAGGTCCCTTTACAGTGTCCCAGGTTTGGGGACCCAAAATCGCTAGTCACTGCTGAAAATCATGGCTGTTCGGTAGACACAAAGAATTGAGGGGGAGGAGGGTGTCTTTGGGTGTGTGCGTGCACCAGGAACTGCTAATGGAAGGGAGCCAAATATCTGCAATGTGTTTCATAGCCCCTATACTGCCAGTATTCAAGGGAGATTCTCTGTTAGCTTAAGAAACAGGAAATGTCATTGTACAGCAGAGCTCTCTCCCAGTTGCTCCACTGGGATGCCCAGTGGCCGTGGGGAATGGCACAGGGACACCCAAGAAGTCTTAAGCCTTAAGCCTCCCCACCTCACTTCCATGCAGGAGGGAGAGCTGTGGGGCAAGCTGGTGACTAATAAAGGTCTCTCCAAACTGCTCCATGCTTGCAGGCTTCACCCTGCTGGATCCCCAGGGATCAGCTGTTCTCCATACAGCGGGTCTCTGGGAATGGGCAGATGCCCGACTCCTTCCTGCATGTGCCAATCCCATTTTGCTGAGCCCCTGGAGGCACCATTCACCGAGAGGCAGCGGCTGCCCCAGCCATGGAGCAAGGACCCTGGGCTGGACAGAAGTGTCCAAAGCACCCAATAGCCCACCCAGCTGCCTCAGGTAGGTGCTGGGACCTGGAGCATCCTTGCTACATCCCAGGCCACCAGGACCCTCTGAGCTGACCCCTGCCTGGATAGATCAGCGATGATTTCATGGCTGATTCTCCTGCCCCATAGCTCAGTGGGGCACTGGGGCTGCCCACGGGGTGCCCAGGAGGCGGGATCCAGTTGAGTGCCTTTCAGCTGACACTTCACATCTCTATTTTAGGCTCGCCAGAGAGAGAGCGAGGCAGAAAACAGCCCCTTGGCTTTGGGTCGTTCCCGCTCTAGGGGCAGGAGCAGCTGACCTGCGGAAGGGGACAGCAGACGTAAAACTGATCGTACACTTGATCGGAGCCAAAGCTGCCCGTAACTTTGGCTGTTTCCCTGGTATGAATCCAGAGCCATGGGCTGCTTCTGCACTCGCTTGTGTCGGACACCAGAAAGACTCTGAAGCTGATAGAATTGCACCTGTGCAAGGCTAGCGCAAGGGCCACGGACTCCCGCTGAACTCCTCCTGGTCCCCCCCCCCCGAGCAAACTGGGGCCCGTTAATTTGTCATTGCTGCGAGCACAACACAGCAATGCCCATGATGGGTTTTTGTTCCAGTCCATTGTCCAACAACAAACAGCTTTCCATTTTGAAGACATCGGGGGCCTTTTGTTAAAAAACTGGACAATGTTTCCATTTTCAGCCCGCCGGCTGCCTGACCACAATCCCAGCCTTTTGGGTCGGGTTTGGGCTGGCCAAAATGTTTCTGTTTTGCAGCAACCCCTTAAAAACTTCAGAGGGCAAAGCTGGAAAAAATCTTGTGGGTTTTCCTCGAGATCTTTTGCAGGTACAAAAAAAGAAAAATCAGTTCCCAGCCAGCTGCGCCCTATCGCTATGAGGCCAATTTTTTTCAGACCTCAGCTCCCATCTAGGTACTTAAATACAGGACAGATACTCCAAGCCTTAGCCCGCTCCCCTCTCCCAGTCCCTGTTGCGCCACAAAGAGCTAGCTGAGCTTCTGGGAAATTCTGGCTACTAATTTGGAGTGACAACGAGCGCAATCAATTTGCACCATGCCACCGACGGCCTGTCTCCTGTGAAAATTCTGTCTCTAATCAATAAACAGGGACCAGCGTCAATTACATTTCCCAGGCGTCAGATCTTCAATGGCCAGGTCTGGACTCCGGGCTTGTAATGACGACGCAAAATACTAAGGAATATTGGAGGGCAAGTTTAAAAAAACGGAATGAAAAACGCCTCCGGCCTGAGCCGGACCTTCTGGAATCTGGATGGGAGCTGCTAAATAATTTGCTATGAACAGCCATCGGGGGTTGTTGAATCCCTCTTTGGCCAGAGCCCTGCTCTCTCCCTGCCCCGACCTTTGTCCTGTTGTTTGTGCAGACCTGATAGCCATAGGCGAGGAAAAGAGACCCAAGGGACAAATTTCTGGAGAAAAAAGCCCATGAACTCACCTTTGTCTAGAGCGAACACCCACTCACAGTGGCTTTGCTGATACAGACCGCCGGCTGGGGGTCCCCGGTGAACCCCGGGACGCACTGGTGGCTGGATGAGTCCAATCTCTCTCCTTCTCCCCAATGCTTCCTTTGCTCAGTGGCAAAGTTTAAACTCCAGCAGAGCAGAAATAGCATCCAGGATTGCAAAACCTTCCCTGCTTCTGATTGGGTGACGGGCTGGAGGACTCTGCGCTGATTGACAGCTGGCGGGGAGCCGTGGTGGCTGGGGTGAGCAGGGTAACTATTACCCCGATGTTTTTGTTGTTCTCCCGTCCAGGTGGGCACTGGGCCCGGCAGTGCAAAGTCCCCGCCGCTCCATCTCACGGTGACCTCTCACCCACTTTCAGGAGTGATTTCCCTTTTGTTAAACCAACACATCAGCATTAATCACGCTCGCTGGGTGTCAGAAACATTCCCGGGGCAGTCAGAAGATGTTGCCTTGGACTCGTGCCCTTATCTTATCCCGTATCGCGTATAGATCGAGCTGTTTCCAGCCTTCCGAGGCCAGGACATGGGGCAGGACACTTGAAAGCCCAGGGTCTACCCCCAGCTCTTGCCCTGACTCGCTGTGTGACATTGGTCCAAGTCACCTAACCTCCGTGCCTTGGTTGTCCCCCTCTCCCGAAAAATGGGGATCATGGTACTTACTTTCTTAAGCACATTGAGATCGATGGATGCAAACCTTGAAGGAGTAGAAGGTTATTATCCTGTTATTTTCCAGCACCAATGTTTAACAGCAAGGGCAGCTGACCGACGAAATAGACTCCCAAGGGAAGGGGTGGATTCGCCATCTCTTAATGTCTTCAGGTCATTGGGCCTCCCAAACGCTAGTTAGCAGGCTCAGGACAGGGCCCAGAGTGAAATCTATGGCCTGTGACACACAGGAGGTCAGACCAGATGCTCTAAAGAAGTTTCTTAAACTTTTTAAGACCGAGGAACACCAAACAATACTTTTTTTTTGATGAGGAACACCAGGGATTTTTTGTTGAGCAAAAAAACCCCACAGTTTAAGAAACACTGCTCTAAATCATAGAATCCTAGAGCTGGAAGAGACCTCAGGAGGTCATCAAGTCCAGCCCCCTGCCCAAGGCAGGACCAATCCCAACTAAATCAACCCGGCCAGGGCTTTGTCAAGCCAAGACTTAAACACCTCTAGGGATGGAGACTCCACTACTTCCCTAGGTAACCCATCCCAGTGCTTCACCACCCTCCTAGGGAAATAGTTTTTCCTAATATCCAACTTAGACCTCTCCCACCACAACTTGAGACCATTGCTCCTTGTTCTGCCATCTGTCACTACTGAGAACAGCCTCTCTCCATCCTCTTTGGAACCTCCCTTCAGGAAGTTGAAGGCTGCTCTCAAATCCCCCCTCACTCTTCTCTTCTGCAGACTAAACAAACCCAAATCCCTCAGTCTCTCCTCATAGGTCATGCGCTCCAGCTCCCTTAGCATTTTGGCTGCCCTCTGCTGGACCCTCTCCAATGCGTCCACATCCTTTCTATAGTGGGGGGCCCAGAACTGGACACAATACTCCAGATGTGGCCTCACCAAAGCCGAATAAAGGGGAATAATCACTTCTCTGGATCTGCTGGCCCTGCTCCTCCTAATGCAGCCTAACATGCC